ATCCGCGCCTGGGGCGCTCGGCCCCACCTGCCCCTCTGCGTAGAGCCCCCTCCAGGGGGCCAGACCCTCCAGCCAAGACACCGCCTCCGCTGCTGTCCCCTCCCTGGTTCCCCAGTCCTGGGCCCATGAACTGCACCAGTCCAACTGCTGGGGTGCTGGGGAGCCCTGGAACCCCGGGAGCCATGGGTGGGGTGAGCAAGGACCCACGGAGGCGCCCTGGGGTAGGGGAGGCAGGAGGCAGAGAGCCAGCAGCAGGGCCCCGCAGTCCCTGCCTGCCGCCTGGGCACGAGAGGAGCCGGCGCCCCAGCCCCCAGCGTCCCCACCTAGGCCAGAGCCCCTGGTCTCAGGGACCTGCCTCTGCTCAGCCTCAGGCTCTGCGTCTGCCCCTGTCAGAGGCCAGAAGCAAGATGTGAGCTGTGGGGAGAGGGGAGTGGAAGGAAAGGGGGGCCATGAAGCCAGGGAGGGCCACAGCTGGGCAGTCACCAGGGAGTCCAAGGGGCAGCTGGGCCCCCTTCCCTGTGGGGACAACCCTGGCTCAGGCTCTCCCACTCCAGCCCCAGAGGGTCCACTGGCCGATGGAGTGGGGATAAGGACCTGTGACACGAAGTTGGATCTCCTGGGAGAGCCATGACCCGGCCCAGAGCTGGCACGGCTGTAGGTGCCGGCGTCCTCTGCCCGCAGCGGGCTGATGACCAGGGAGCCGTCGGCCTGCAGCTTGTGCCTGAGGGGAGCAGGGGTCCTCCCTCAGGCCAGGGCTCCAGGTGGTTGCCTAGCCAGAGGGCACCCAGCCCCACCTGGCACTCCTGTGCCCACTGGGACTGCTGGGGGCACTGTCATGCACACCTGTGGGGAGGGGAGGGCTGCCATGCACACCTGTCAGGTGGAGAGGGGCTGTCACACACCTGTGGGGAGGGGAGGGCTGTCACGCACACCTGTGGGGAGGGGAGGCCTGTCATGCACACCTGTCAGAGGAGATGTACTGGCCATCTTTCTGCCATCCAGCCTGGGCTCCCAGAGAGGTGTCCTCTGGGCAGAAGAGCTGCACTGACTGACCCAGGGCCGCCTGCACCAAGGCCGGCTCCAAGCCCCCCAGTCTAATCCTGGAGAGGTGAGAGGCGAGGACTGTCCACTGGCCTGAGTGCCAGGACCAGTGACACGTCTTGGCACGGTGTCTCACAACAGAAGGCATGGCACCCACCCATGTCACAGGACTTGCAGGGCCAGAGGGTCCCCACGGAAGGCCAAGCTCCAGAAGCCCACGGGCTCAGGGATCTGGCCTCCCCAGCCTCCCCAGCCTGCCTCTGGCTTTGCTGCCTCGCCTGCTCTGGCAACAGCCACAGGGCAGCACCAAGCCCAGGGGAGGGGATGAGGAGGGGAGGACAGCACGCACCAGCAGAACTACGTGGGACAGGTCTCAGTTTTGCTCTTTGTCTTCCCAAATCCCTCATTAACGTGCCCTGGTCCCAAGAGCAATGATGAATGGAGCCCGCACCAAACCTAGGGGACATCTCAGGCGCTATCACCCTTCACAGACGGGGACCAGCGGGGACTTGCCAAAGGTCAGAAAGCCAAGCTTTTATAGCTAGTCAGGCCCCAGGGTACACTGGCAAGACCTGAGCAGCCAGGAGCCCTGTCTACATAGATCCCTAACGGGAACGAGGCAACGTCTCTGAAACCCGGCTTCCCCGCCTGCGGGACGGGGCAGGGCCCGCCAGGCGGCGCTGTGGGAGCGTTAGAGGTTTGGGAGCGCGGGCAGGGCTGGCTGCGCTCCGGCTCACCCCGGCCTAGGCCCTCTTGGGTATCCCCCTACCTGGACAAGGGGGCTCACCTATAGGAGGAGCTGAGAGACGGGGGCGCTGGCCGTCCAGCATCTCCGCCCAGTCCCGCGGCCCTGAGTCCCAGCTCCCGGCCACGG